GTTACTTTTTGGCTGCATCATTATAATAGGGTCAGGGAACGACTAATGCATGGACGTTCCACGTTATCGTGGCTTTCTAGCTTTAAACAGTTTGAAATCACAATGTTGATAGAAAATGCATGAAAAGAGAGATTTCTTACGAGCCGCAAATTGGTAAAGAAAAAGTGACTTTGACAAAAAAATCAAATTCATCCAAAAAAAAATTGAAATGATATTGTCCAGTGAACTAGACTTTTTAGTTTATTGTGAATTATAGAAAATTTACAAGTTCAAGGTTTGAATCCTAGATCCGGTTGTAGGGAGTGGGAAAGGTGGGGATAAGATGGGGTTAAAAAAATATAGGGTTTGCAAGTGTTTCAATATAGGGGTTGTAGGTGTTTCAATTTGTTCCGCTAAAAAATGAAAACTCAAAAACGTGCATCTTATCAGATTGGGTCTACATTTTTTCTGTGTTTCTGGTCATGTCGTTATGTTTATTTTGTAGAAAAGATTTGTTTAAACAAGTCTAATGTAAGCTTGGTCCAAGGAAATATAAAAAGGGAATTACTGAGAACTAAAATCTAAACGTTACAAACTTAAATCAAAGCACACAATTTTCAGCCCATAGAAGCATAAAATTTGTGTACTTTTGGCATTTTTTTGAGGAAAATCTTGAATAAAATTTTTACACATTTATTTTAGTTAAGGAAAATTTCACAAACCTCCCATGAGGTTTCTGACACTTGCACTGACAGCTCTCAAGGTTTTAAAAATTTCACTGAGCTCCCTTGCTTTTGAGATTTTGGTAACAATTCAGCTCAACTATGATTAAAATATTATTGTCATGACAGAGATGACATTTGTATTCCATCAATGCCCCTTTTCCTCCCTATATTAGTACAAGATTGCAAGTTATTAAAAAGGTTGAAATGATTATCAAAATTGAGGTGGTGTAAAAACAATTCAAAAATTTTGAAGCACTACATGGATACATAAGCATTGCTTTAACAGGAACAGCAATGGGTACTTGCAACCTTCCAACGGCCAGCTTTTTGATGAGCTCCAACTATATAAACATCTGAAGTGCAAGTACACCATCAAGTTTATGATTGGGAGGAGCAAGAGTTTTGGTTCATTAATCCTCACTATTTTGTAGTGCATTTATAGGATATAGTGAAAAAATTTTGTAGCAATTATGGCCCCTTCAAACCAAAGGGGAGAATCGTGTAATTCACCAACATCTTTCACTATTAAAAATAGATATTGCTATTGTAATTGCACAATGAAAATATCGGAGAGTGAAAAGAATCTGGACAAGTTGTATTTATACTGTTCAAAATGCAGGTTCTTTAAGTGGTATGATGGAGGAGAAGAAGAAGAAGTTAATAGCAGAAGAAGCAATCGAGACACAGAGAGGGAAGGAGTCATTAGTAGAAGAGTATTTGGCATTTCAGAAAGGCAAACTGATGTTGCAGTGGAACAGCAAAGACATTTTCCACTACCAAGTGGCTTAGGAAACATGCTACTCATCATTAACCTCATACTGTTAGCTATATTTATTTTCATTCAAATAGTCAAATCAATTGGCTGCACTCATGTAACTCTGCTGCAACATTCTAGCAATTGTAGTATGCCTTTCTGGTGAAAGGCAATTCATGTATGCAGGTTATGTCAATGTGAATTCTTCATAAACCAATGTAAAATCATGTATGCAGCAGTATAGACTCAAGTATGAAGTAATGAATAGTTACAGCATGATTTACAACTGCTCCTAGATCTAAGCGCAGAATGTCAACATACAAACCAGTCATTTATGATCCATGAAATGATAAGGCACATTCAAGACACTATCAGGGACATTACTCTTGCTAAAATGCCAGTTATATATCAGTAGCTGATCCACATTTCCATCAATGCAATCCACAAGTACAATACACCATCTACAACAAAGAGTAATGCAGATGGTAAGGATTGCATCTACAACACCATTAACTAACTAGTTTGACTAGTTACTCAAAACCATATGCTGAAAGTACTGGTACTAATAATGTTGTTGGAGTAAAAATTTTTGATGCATTCATGCTAACAGATGTAGCATTTGTAGATTCAGAAGTAGGTTGAACTAGGACCTGAGGATTGCAGTGACCATTTCTAGTTCTTTTGGTCCTACCAACACCTCTTGTTGTTGAAATAGAAGGGATGTTTGAAATAGGCCTTTCTCTATGTAAACATTAAGCAACAAAAATGAAGTTCAATTAAAAATACTACATCCAAAACTTGTTATGTTAGATAAGTTATGTTGTACATGTTAACACCTTTCTATTAGAAGCGGCTGCAATAGTTTGACAATTGTCCTGAACATGAAGTATTCCATTATGTTGCAGCAGAGGTTTTGTCTAGGCGCTTGAATGAGCTACTTCGAGATTCGAGGTTTGTCCCATTCTTGGTGTCGCGGGACTCTCCGCCGCTGACACATCTGGCCTATGCTGATGACATCATCGTTTTCTGCAATGGTGGTAAGCGGTCCTTGGAGTGGGTCAGGGAGGTGCTACAGGGTTATCAGGAGGTGTCAGGGCAGCTGGTGAACGTGGAGAAGAGTTGTTTTTTGGTTGGCAAGAAGACTTCGGTGGCTCGTAGGAGGATAATTGCACACGTCACTGGTTTCTGTCCTAGATCTTTACCGGTCACGTACTTGGGATGCCCGTTGTTTGAGGGGAGATGAGTGAAAGTTTTATTTTCTGACTTGCTGACTAAGGTTTCCCAACGGATTGCCTCTTGGCATAGTCGGTGGTTATCTATGAGTGCTCGGGCTCTATTGGTTAAGCATGTATTGTCATCCATGCCTATTCATATTCTTGCGGTAATAGAGCCACCTAAGGGGGTGATTTCTGAGCTGGAGCGGATTTTGGCGAGGTTCTTTTGGGGTGAGTCGGAGTTTGGAGCTAAGCGGCACTAGTCGAAGTGGGAGAATTTATGTTTTCCGGTGGAGGAAGGAGGGGTTGGTTTTCGGTCACTTCAGACGATTGTGGAGGCTTTCTCCTGTAAACTTTGGTGGATGTTTAGACATGGTCAATCTCTCTGGGCGCAGTTCATGAGGGCTAGGTATTTCGGAACTCTGCATCCAAATCAAGGTCCGGCTCATGTTCAATTGACTGCTACGTGTAAACGCATGCTCAGTGTCCGTACAACCATGGAGCATTGGTTGCAGTGGGATCTCTCGAGAAGAGAGGTGGCTTTCTGGTGGGATAACTAGAGTGGGCTAGGCCCTTTGGCGTGGAGGTTTCCTGAAGAGGGGTCGGATGCGACGGTCTCGGATTTTATACGGGAAGGGAGATGGGATTATTCGGCTTTGGCATCGGTGCCTGCAATGATTAGGGACGTCGCCCAGGGGTCTTTTTTCTGTTTTGGGTTGGATTCGGATACCCTTGTTTTGCGGCGGGATCCTTCGGGAGTCTTCTGGACTAGGTCGGCATATCAACTTGTTCGACCGGCTAGGGCTCTCTCCTGGACTTTCTCTTTCGTTTGGCACTCCTTCATCCCGCGTAAATTGTCTTTCTTTATGTGGCGTCTAGTGAATGGCCAGCTGCCGATGGATGACGTGCTCGAAAAGTTTCACATTCATGGTCCTTCTAAATGTCATTGCTGTGTGCTTAGCTAGTTTGAGGCGATGGAACATGTTTTTTCGATTGGCCAGTTAGCTTCTGCGACATGGGCGTTTTTTGAGTATTCTCTTGGACTTTCGACATTGGCTGCCACGGTTCGCTCCCGGTGTACCACTTGGTGGTTACGCCCTGTGAAAGGTAAGACGTTACGCTGGTTAATGCGGATTCTCCCAATCCTGATATTATGGTTTCTATGGCGGGCCAGGAATATGTCCAGGTTCGAGAGTCGCAAGATTTCCAGTTTGCATGTTCGGACTCTTATCATACAAGAGGTAAGAATGCTAGTCAGAGCCCATTTTCCAGGTATTATGGTGCCTTGTCAATGGGATGAACTTCTTGAGGCTCTGTCTGGGGTTCGGAGGGCTTTAACTGCAACGGTGGTCAGGTGGGCTTTCCCTCCGACGGGCTGCTACAAGTTAAACACTGATGGTTGTGCCACGGAGCGTGGTACTGGGGGCGGTGGGGTGATTAGGGATTTGTGTGAAAGGTTTATTGTTGCTTTTGTGGATTCATTTGGCGGTGTGGACTCTTTGCAGGCGGAGGCTCGCGCTCTCCTTTTGGGCCTGCAATTGGGGCGCCAAGTAGGGGTCTCTTGGCTAATCGTAGAATCTGACTGTCTAGTTCTAATTAATTGTTTAAGGAAGGAATGGGGAGTTCCCGCGGGGATTCGGCCTATTGTTCGTGCCATTTGGATGGGTGAGTCAAGTTCTCACCGCTTCTGTCATTGCTACCGGGAGGGGAATACAGTGGCGGATTCGCTAGCAGCATATGGGGCTATGTCAGGCACTCGAGTTATTTTCACTAAGGGCTCACAGTTACCGACTCGTACTAGGGGACTTTTGGCTTTGGATCTGCAGAATTTTTGTAACTTTCGGTTTTCTTTTCGAGGTTAAGGCGTTTGCTTTAACCTCGGCTTTGCTTTCAGCCTTTGATTAATAAAAATCTATTAAGTTAAAAAAAAAAATTTTACGGTTTATATGTAAAAAAAAAATAAAAATTCCATTATGATTTGTAGGACTGGGATTGCTTCCTTGACTGGAGTGTACTATAGGTACATTTCCTTGTGCATGATCCTGAAAAATGAGTTAGTAATGCACTGGAAACTTCTTATAAATAATTCGAATAGTCAAGGAATGATAGACAAAGCTAATAGTTTATCCAAATAACAGCTCCTGATAAGCCTGTGCTAGCTAGTCCTCTACTTGGTCTGCCTCTTCTATTTGTCATCTATGATAACAAATTCAAATGAACTGTAAGTAATAGTTAGAATTCAATGTTAAGTTAATAATAGTTAGGACTATGCAATAATTCTACTAGTTCAGCAGGAGTTCTTTTTGCAGTCCTTTTTTGCACAGGTGCTCATTTGCAAGTCCTTTTATTATGACCAAAAGCTCCACAATTTCCACACTTGAGAGTACTTGACCTTTTTGCTTGTGAAGAAGAAGCTCCTTCATTAGCTTCCCTCATTCGATTCACTCTTGGTCTACCAGGAGCTCTTCTCAAAGGAGGTGGCAACGCTGTTTTTGGGAGCACTTCAAGTATAGGAGGCCACCTTTTTACATGAAGAATAGGATGAATCATTGCAGAGTATGCCTTCAAGTACATGTTCTTTGTGAACCAAGTTTCACAGTAAGACTCCAACTTCTGTCCTGTACATAATTCCTGGTGTTGTATGTTTGCATGGAATTCCAGATATCTAAAAAGCACCACAGTCGTAGATTCTTTGGGTGAGATTGACTATGTAGCTTCTGTCCAGATCACCAATCTCGAATGTGTCTTCACTAGCCAAATGCATCTCACATTTTCTTGATGCTTGGCTAATTTCTTTGAGTTTCTCAGCAATTCTAGGAGTGACATTACTAGTCAATGTACAACCTTTTTGGTATCTCTTGTGCAGTTTTTTCATTAACTTTCTTCTCAATCCATCCACCAAAGTGAGTATAGGCTTTCCTCTTAGATCACCAACCCAATTATTAAAGGTCTCAGTGAAATTATTTGTCACATGATTACACTTAAGTTCAGGTGAGAAGACATGCCTACACCAAGCACTTCTTGGAATTTTATCCAGATATTTCCAAGCATCTATGTTAATATCTTTAATACTTGCCATTTCTTTATTATGGCCAACTACATCATAACTTTTAGCTGCCTTCCAAAAGAAACTGCTATGATATCTGGAAATTGAACCTTGAAATTGCTGCATATATGCCTACAACAATGGCTTCCAGTTGCATCAGTAAATATCTCCTCATAAGCTAGATTTAATCCCTACATTAGCAAAGTATAATTTAATAACAAATTCTAATTACTAAGTTGAAGGCTTAAATCAAAATTTTGTGTACCTTCTGCCTATACTCATGAAAATTAAAGGGATGTTGTTGTCAAATGGTCCAAAGAACTCTTGAAAGTAGTAGAAGAACCACCTCCAGGTTTCCTTGTTCTCACATTTAGTTACAGCAAAGGCTATTGGAAATATGTTGTTGTTTGCATCGAAAGCAACTGCTGTGAGAAGTACACTTCCAAATGGACCCTTCAAGAAACATCCATTAAACCCCAAAAAAGGCCTGCAACCTTCCATGAATCCCTGCTTTTGAATTGTGAAGCTGATGAATATTCTCAAAAACTTAGGCTCAACTAAAAGATTTGGCCTATCATAATGTATTTTGCAAATGCTATTGGGATTGTTGTTCCTTAACAGTTCAACATATCATGGAAGTTTAGAATAAGATTCAACATTTGTGCCTTCTATCTCAGCAAGTGCTTTGTTCTTATCTCTAAAAACCTGCATTTTACTTGGCTTCACACCATACTTCCTCAACTCTACCTTTACACCTTTGCTGGTCATATTAGGATGATCTCTTATTACACAAACCAGTTTCTTGGCCATTCCAGTCAAAAATAGCTTCAGCATAGTGTTTGTCCATCCCACAAGTGTGCTGTGGTTGTTAAGTTTTAATCTGAAAAGTGACATTATTAGCCACTGGTGATGCATGTATTCTCTATTGGCATCCCTCAGCACCACAGATAGCAGTCACTCTACCCTTCCCATTTTCAACCTTAGATTGGAAAGTCTTTTTGAATTAATCTTTCAAGTAGCTCTAAATGCATCCATCTTGGTGAATAATTGACCTTTCTCAAACTCTTATGTCATCTTTAGGGTAATAAAGTCACATTTTTATCTCATTACTTGTCTCATAAGGTCATCCTCTTCCTCACTTTCAGAATCAGGAACCACAATATCTGTCTCATTATCCTCAAATTCAGAAAAATTGGTATCACTATCCTCACAGTCATCATTTGAGACCCTTTCTAGAACTACTTTATCCTCAGAGTCACTATGTAGATTGTGTTTCCATGAAGAATCAGAGCTAGAGTCCCCATACTCTTCATCTGAGACTCCAAGGTCTATACATGCTATCCTAGTATTCTGTTCAATGCCTAAATTATCTTGTATGTTGATGCGAATGAGCAAGAGACCCATGGTGTTCAAGTAGATCCCGTGAAGGTCCCTCAAGACCCAGTGACACGAGCATGAGTTAAGAGATTCAAGGAATCGCTTCAAACCTTAGTTCATGCCGTCCAAACCCAAGAGAAACTGCCTATTGAAGGAATCAATATGGAAGATCCTTACAAGACTACTAAGATATTGCTTACAATTGAAGGTACAAGTGATCAAGCCTCAAAGGGAGGATTGAGCCTCGATTAAGTAGCTCTTGTTGAGCTTGGCTTTGGCCATGTGGGCCTTAGATCTAATAGTACTTTAGTTAGTCATTAAGTTAATTAATTAGTAGGTTAGCTTTCGGCCAAGAGAGACACAATGGATTGGCCGAATTTCCTTAATATTTTCCAAGTTCTATTAGGGTTAGATAAGGTTATAAATAGCCCCAAGTCATTGTTTACATTCAGTTTTGCGATATTATTAATAAAATTCCAGAATTTCGTCTTCCATTGAAGCAAATTCCTTTAGCTTGTGAAAGCTAGTTTGAACTTCCTAGAGTTGATCCTAGGTGATTTTCTTGACTTATCAATCAAGCACACACACTTGATTGTGGCGTCCTCTACCGTTGAATCCGTTCTTGAGTGGTTCAAGTTTGGGTTTGACTCCGTCAAATCGTCAACGTACCCTCTAAGATCCCAAGTAACTTCCGCATCTCGTATCATCTGGTAATCAGAGCTAGGTTGAGGTATCACGTATATCCCTTTTTCTTGTTTTTGAGTCTTGAAATCGTTGAGAGTCACCCAAAAAAAAAAGTACTGTAGCATCAGTACTGTTCATCGCTATTGTAGCGATACTATTCACCGCGGGTGTACTGTTCATCCGAAGTACTGTAGCGACACTGTTCATCCGAAAATTTTTTTTTTCTTTGCATAACTTGTGTTTCTTTCTTATTTTGGTGTCTTGTTATATTATTCTTGAAGTCTTGTGCTGGTTTAGAGTAAAAAAAAATAAATAAATAAATTTGCGACGGCTAGGGTTTTTGCTCTTATTGCCGCATATCAAGTAGGTTTGTTCCTTGTGTTGTAATTTGCCTAGATTGTTTTCATCCAATATTTGCTGTTAGTTTGTCTAGATTGTGGTCTAATTCTAGTTGGTTATTGTGTTGCTTGGGGCGTGAAAACAACTCAGCAAAAGGTCAGCAATGGGCTGGCCGAATTTCCTTAATATTTCCCAAGTTCTATTAGGGTTAGACAAGGCTATAAATAGCCCCAAGTCATTGTTTACATTCAGTTTTACGATATTATTAATAAAATTCTAGAATTTCATCTTCCATTGAAGCAAATTCCTTTATCTTGTGAAAGCTAGTTTGAACTTCCTAGAGTTAATCCTAGGTGGTTTCCTTGACTTATCAATCAAGCACACATACTTGATTGTGGCGTCCTCTATCATTGAATCCGTTCTTGAGTGGCCCAAGTTTGGGTTCGATTTCGTCAAATCGTCAACGTGCCCTCTAAGATCCCAAGTAACTTCCGTATCTCGTATCATCTGGTAATCAGAGTTAGGTTGAGGTATCACGTATATCCCTTTTTCTTGTTTTTGAGTCTTGAAATCGTTGAGAGTCACCCAAAAAAAAAGTACTGTAGCATTAGTACTATTCATCGCTACTGTAGCGATACTATTCATCGCGGGCACGTTCATCCGAAGTACTGTAGCGACACTGTTCATCCGAAAATTTTTTTTCTTTGCATAACTTGTGTTTCTTTCTTATTTTGGTGTCTTGTTATATTGTTCTTGAAGTCTTGTGCTGGTTTAGAGTAAAAAAAAAAAAAAAATTTTGCGATGGCTGGGGTTTTTGCTCTTATTGCCGCATATCAAGTAGGTTTGTTCCTTGTGTTGTAATTTGCCCAGATTGTTTTCATCCAATATTTGCTGTTAGTTTGTCTAGATTGTGGTCTAATTCTAGTTGGTTATTGTGTTGCTTGGGGCGTGAAAACAACTCAGCAAAAGGTCAGCAATGGGCTGGCCGAATTTCCTTAATATTTCCCAAGTTCTATTAGGGTTAGACAAGGCCATAAATAGCCCCAAGTCATTGTTTACATTCAGTTTTGCGATATTATTAATAAAATTCCAGAATTTCATCTTCCATTGAAGCAAATTCCTTTAACTTGTGAAAGCTAGTTTAAACTTCCTAGAGTTGATCTTAGGTGGTTTCCTTGACTTATCAATCAAGCACAAACACTTGATTGTGGCATCCTCTACCGTTGAATCCGTTCTTAAGTGGTCCAAATTTGGGTTCGACTTCGTCAAATCGTCAACGTGCCCTTTAAGATCCTAAGTAACTTCCGCATCTCGTATCATCTGGTAATCAGAGTTAGGTTGAGGTATCACGTATATCCCTTTTTCTTGTTTTTGAATCTTGAAATCATTGAGAGTCACCCAAAAAAAAAAGTACTGTAGCATCAGTACTGTTCATCGCTACTGTAGCGATACTATTCACCGCGGGCATACTGTTCATCCGAAGTACTGTAGCGACACTGTTCATCCGAAATTTTTTTTTCTTTGCATAACTTGTGTTTCTTTCTTATTTTGGTGTCTTGTTATATTGTTCTTGAAGTCTTGTGTTGGTTTAGAGTAAAAAAAAAAAAAATTTTTTGCGACGACAAGGGTTTTTGCTCTTATTGCCGCATATCAAGTAGGTTTGTTCCTTGTGTTGTAATCTGCCCACATTGTTTTCATCCAATATTTGCTGTTAGTTTGTCTAGATTGTGGTCTAATTCTAGTTGATTATTGTGTTGCTTGGGGCGTGAAAACAACTCAGCAAAGGGTCACAAAAAAAAAGTTTCACATACCTCATTGTTCTTGAGTCGTTGCTGGAATTTTTTCTTGGGAGGCTGCCGAACCTGTTTTGCCCTTATTTCTTGAACTTTTGTGTTGTTTCTTGCAAAACTTGAATACCAAAACATATTTGGGGAAGTTCTTGAGTTTCTTGAAGTTCTTGAACCACCAAAGGCTGATTTGGGGAGATTCTTGAAACCAAATTGTGGGGTTCTTGATACTTGAAACAATCTTCAATCTTGTCTTGGCGAATCTTGAAGCTAGAACCGAAGTCAAGGAAATTTTTGGGATTGGAATTACGTGCTTAAAATAATCTGTTGAGCCACAAAAGAAACAAAAGAAAGAAAGAAAAGAAACGAAAAAAGGAAAGAAAAAAAAAGGGAAGAAAGATATTGGATCTAGTTTCCTAAATGTGCACCAAGTCCCACCTTGACTCCGACTAATCCTAATTCTGTTGGGATTAATAGCAGCCAAGAACCCATCGGCTAAAGGCCCAAGTTCCCCTCCAACCGACCTAAAACAGCCCACTTTACACCCAATTCCGTTTCCAAAATCCAAAAGCCAACCGCTACACTGTGCCACGCTAAACCAGCCCGCAATGTTAAATCGGTTGAGCATCACTTTGTGATCTGATTGGACTGCAATTTAAGGGCTGACCCATACACCAAAACAGCACCCAAAATACCCCAAAAATCTGACCAAAAGACTGAAGATCAGCAGCTCGACAAATTCTAGAATTTTGGTTGTCGGGTAGGGTACTACTAGGATTTTCAAAATTTCAGCCTTGAAGTCATCTTTCTTGCTTTCTTTTGAGTCGTAGTCAGTCCTAATCTGAGTTTTAGGTCCCATCTTACGTCATCCATTATTGTCCATTCATTGCTACTATCTTGTGTCACTTGTTGACTAGTCAAGAACAAACCTGACGGTGATTCCTAGTTTGTTCAACCCGAGCAACTAGCGAGCCTAAGGAATTGTTGGTGAGATTATTAGAGAGTGATGCACTTGAGTGAAACACGAGCGTGAGTGACCTATATATTGTATACAAAAAAAAAAGGAGAGAGGTAGTTGTTTTGTTTGTTTTGGTAGGTATACCTAAGCATATCAAGTGGAATTGGAGACCAAACCATGGGCCTAAAACTACACATGGAGGCCATGATGGAAGAATTCAAGCAGAGCCTGGATGAAACTTTCGAGCCTCTTCATAGACGTCTTGACCGAATGGTGAATAAGGATGTCAAGAGGAGGGGTTCTCTACAATTTCACCCCAACATCCAACCTACCTCTTCCAAGTCAGTATATTCAAGGAGAAGGGAGGAGGTTCATTCGACAACAAAACATGTCAATACATTATCCATAGATGAAGGAGTTAGTAGAGTGTGGGAGACATATCAACAACTCCTCCAACAAAAACTTGAAAAAGAGCGAGTTGAGTATGGTGGTGAGCATGCACTTAAAGTAAAAGTTGAGGAAAGTGTCAAAGAGAGAGATAATGAACATTTAAAAGAGTTGAGTGTGAAAAATTTCATGCATGATTCTGCCATAGTGGAAAAACAAGAGAGAAAGCCGACATCTATTGTACAATCTAAGGATGTGAAGGGGACTTCTTATTGTAC